TAAGTAGCAACATTAGACTGGAGAAAAGTTACCAAGTGCTGGTGATACACAATAAAACCAGTGTGCAAATGTAGGCTGTCAATAAGAAACCCACAAAATAAGAAGTGTTATTGCTTGGAATTTGTAATAGTTGATACAGAGAAGCATCACCACTATGGACAGCAGAGCAGTGCAAGCCATGGATGTGATTGCAATACAACACCAGAACATCCTCAACTTGAGAGAGGAGGGAGAACATTCATTGTGGGCCTTATCCAAACCTCTAACAGAATACAAGGACATATTTCAAGGAGAAGGACATATACAGGGCAAAATGAAGTTAGAAATAGACACCCCCTCTCATACCTCTCCATGCAGCCCATGAGTTTACCTAAATAAAGAGTTCCATTATCTGTGGTGGAACCACAGAAGAAAGAACTGCCAAAGCCTGCAAAGACGACGCATCATTATCCGACTGAAATTAGCAGAGTGTATCAGCAGTCTAGTAAGGGTGAGAAAACTTTCAGCTAAAGTGAGGATGTGTCACTACCCATTACCAATATCTGAGGACACATTACCCAAGTTATCCAGGGAAGAAGTGTTCACTGTTTGTGATACCAAGAATGGGTTTTGGAATATTGAGCTAGATGAGCCATTCAGCCACCTGACAACTTTTGCTGCCCCTTTTGGCAAGTACTGCTGGGTATGATTGTTTATGGGCATTGGTCCAGCTCCAGAGGTGTTCCAATGTAAACTGAACCAGGCACGAGAGGAACCTCCCAATCATCAAGATTGTAGCTAATGACATTCTTATTGTAGCAGAAGGAGATGTTGAGAGATACTCTAGGATCATGATACCAGACTGTGGCAATTCCTAAACTGGTGCCAGGAGCAGAATATTAGGCTTAATGCAATATTTTCCCCTGACTATCCACACAAACCAACAGAAAGGCAGAGTCAGCAGTGAAGTTGTGGACAAGAGGCTGATGGCAAAGGCAATGTAGACAGGAAGGAATCCCTCCCTGGCAATGCTGAACTATTGCAAAATATCCTCCCAAGGCTAAGACATCTGCTTTCCATGAGCGGTAGTCTGCTGCAGCCCAGCAGAGAGATAATGGACAGGACAAAGAAGAGGTTAACAGAATGCCCAGATAATCAGGCAGCCTGCAAGGAGCCAAGAACCTGAGGCCAATATGCACAGGTGAGCAGGTCTGGGTCTAGTAAATAAATAGCAATGGCAAAATGCAACTGTCCAAGCTGCAATGGAATACAGGTCACATGAAGTAGCTACAGACTCAGGACAGTGGTGAAGATAAAACCAAACACAACTGTAGAACAGCAGCGGAGAGCTGGCGCATCTGGACAGACAGGCCAATGACAGGACCAGAGGGATTTAGAAAGAGCCTCAGCCATGAGTTGGCCTGATGTAGGAGAGTCAGAAGAAAACAAGGTATCTGAGTAACACCGAAGACCAACAGGATGCCACCCAACAGAATGAAGATCAGAACAGTGTCCTGCACTAAAATCAGCAACACAAACAAGTAGTGGGAGACTGGTTTGGAAACCGGCATACTTGATGGAATATGAGAACTAACAGACGGCAATGGGCTAGTGGTAAAGGCCAGGCTAGGAGGGTGGGCTATGTACGAGTAACCTCTGGCCCCAGAAGGTGAGCAAATGCTTGCACAAAAGACACAAAAATAAGAACTGTTAAAAGGAAAAATGTAGCAACCTGCATGAAACTTGGATGGAGGAGCAAAGGATGCAGGAGGGAAGAGTTTGGAGGAGGCACCAGGAAGCCAGTCTGTGAGCACATGGCTGTAGGGTGACCAGATGTCTGGTTTTCGAGCGGAACACCCGGTTGAAAATGGACGCTGGCGTCTCCAGTCAGCACTGCTGACCGGGACATTAAAAGTCCGGTTGGTGGTGCTGCAGAGCTAAGGCAGGCTAGTCCCTACCTGTCCTGGCTCCGTGCTGCACCCCGGAAGCAGCCAGCAGGTCCGGCTCCTAGGCGTGGTGGGGGTGTCCATGGGGGCTCCGCGTGCTGCCCTGCCCCTAGCACCGCTTCACACTTCCATTGGCCGGGAACTGTGGCCAATGGGAGCTGCAGGGGCGGTGCTTGCGGGCGAGAGCACCACGCAGAGCTGCCTGCTGCCCCTCTGCCTAGGAGCTGGACCTGCTGGCCACTTTCGGGGCGCAGCGCGGAGTCAGGACAGGCAGGAAGCCTGCCTTAGCCCCCCCGCTGTGCCGCTGTCAGGGAGCCGCCAGAGGTAAGTCGGTGCCCCAACCCCGAGCCCCAACCACCTGCCCCAGCCCTGAGCCCCCCCAAACCTGGAGCCCCCTCCTGTACCCCAAACTCTACATTCCCGGCCCCACTCCAAAGCCCACATTCCCAGATGGAGCCCTGACCCCCCCTGCACCCCAATCCCCTGCCCCAGCCAAGCGCCCCCTCCCACACCAGGAACCCCTCTGCCCTACCCTCCAGCCTGGAGCCCCTTCCTGCACCCAAAATCCCTCATCCCCAGCTGCACCCCAGAGCCCGTACCCCCAAATGGAGTTCTCACCCCCCCTGCACTCCAACCCCGTCTCAACTTGCAGCCCCCTCCTACAACCTGAACCCCTCATCCCTAGCCCCACCCCAGAGCCCTCATCCCCTCCTGCACCCCAACCCACTGGCCCAGCCCAGAGCCCTCCCACACCCTGAACCCCTTTGCCCCACCCCCAAGCCTGGAGCCTCCTGCTGCACCCAAACCCCTTATCCCAGGCCCCACCCCAGAGCCCGCACCCCAACCCCCTGCCTGGAGCCCCTTCACACATTCTGAACCCCTCCTTTCTGGTCCCACCCCAGAGCCTGCACCGCCAGTTAGTTCTCTCACCCCCTCCTGCACCCCAACCCCTTGCCCCAGCCCAGTGAAAGTGACTGAGGGTATGAGAGAGTGAGCCAGTGAGGGAGGGGGAATGTAGTGAGTGGGGGGCAGGGCCTCAGGGGAAGGGGCAGGGCCAGGGTATTCGGTTTGGTGCGATTAGAAAGTTGGCAACCCTACCTGAGTAGAATGCTAGCTGGAGATGCAGCAGTTCTGTAAATAGTTCTCTTAATAAAGAGCCAGTTTAGTTTTAGAAACATGGAGTCATCTCATGTTATAATTCAGCATGTACTATGTGACCTGTGAGTACATGTGATAACAACTTTGGCAGAGATTAAAGCCAAGTAAGAGTCAGGCCCAAGATTAAATTTAAATGAAAACGGATCATTTTAATTCAGTCAAAATTAACACAAGTGGTATCTTTTGTTTTCCATTTTGTGCCTCAGGTGAACCTTCTACAGTAAGATTATAATTGAAATAATTTAACTCTTTTTCCTATGAAATACTCAAAGTGGTGGCTGAGAATACTTGCAATTAGACATTTGAGTTGTTTTGATTGGTCACACAAATTTTCTCCTCTAGTTGGATCACCTCTTAGTTTCCAGTGCTAACATTCATGATTACAAGATTAAAACTTCCTTTTTTCAGAATATTTTGCTGCAATGTGTTAATATTTGCTCTTTTGGTGAATGCGCCTGCCAGTAAATTTGTGAAAAAAAACCCAATTGGGTGCAAATACAGAGGAAGCTAATTCGTTTAAAAATTTAAATCAGTGTTTGCAAAAAAGGAAAAAGTTTTTGAATTATTTACTGAATAATCTGGTGCGTTGAGGCCACTCAAGAAGATTGGGAAGTAAATGACTGTGGATAAAAATGACTGGAGTTCTTAAAACACAAAATGAAATAAATTCTGATTGTACTACTGGAGGGTACATTTACATTTTAATAAAATAATAATTAAAAATCTTTATATCAAGCAACATCTGAAAAAATAAACATAATCTTAATTTATTAAGGTATTATATGGGCTACTAACCTGATGAAATAATGTAAAAGGAGGAGACTTTGCTTTAATTATTCCTTATTCCTGCATGATCCGAGAACATCAGTAGCAGCATTTTTTATCATGTCTTTCCTTTCTAGCTCTCTGCATTCTAGTAATCCATGCTGGCGCAGTGAAGAACTTCCAGTGTTTTTAAAAGCAACAGGTTGTCATGAGTTCAAAGTTATAAAATCAGGAGGACTAGCTGAATCCTAGATCATCTATTAATAGGAATGACAATCCTATTAATAAAATGTTTTAATTTATATTTCATTAACTTTTAAATATTGATATTATTAGCTGTGGACACTGTGGGGAGCACTTTGATAGATCCTGTTAATAAAGGGTGAGGTTTGCTTTGAGTTCATCCCTCCACTCTCTGCTACTCTCACCGGCTCCTTTCTTTCTCTTTCTTCCCCCCCTTTCCATATCTATACTTTTTGGGCAAGCAGTCACTATTGCACTAGCAGCTTAGTGCCTTTGATACTGACATTATTTCATGGCAGCAGAAAATATGGCAAACAATTAATTTGTTATTTTAAATAAGCTATGCTTCTCTTTTTTGGTACAAACGGCAAGTGGTGGTTTATCCTCACTAATGCCATAGTGTAACCATATCAGTATCAAAGGGCTAAATTGTGGCAGCAGCAGTGGAGATGTTCTGATGTTAGCATCTCAAGCCAATATTTGGAAAACCCTTTGGGAACTGGCCTGCTGGCCCCAAAGGTGCAGGTGATGGGAAAGGGAAAGACAAGACATGGAAGGAAAATAGCAAAGAGCAGAGGGGGAAAAACACATTTAAATTAGGCTCTAATTCAGCAAAACACTTAAGCAAGTGTCTAAACGCCATTGATTTCAATAAGACATAAGCATGTTTAATTTTAAGAACATAGTTAATTTATTAGCTGAATCTTGGCCTCAATCAGGTAAATTAAAGTCCCTCTTACCTCCATTCCAGTCATCACTCACAGAGCTCAATCCTACAAGGTGCTGAGTACCCTCCACTCCCAATGATATCACTGGGGATGGAGGGTGCTTAGTACATTTCAGGGTCATCACTGTGGTATCTGAGTGCCCAGAAAATATTATCATAACCAAAATATACAAGCGCACAAGTGATCTAGCTTCCTCTTTATTTGCCTTAAAGAAGTTGGTTTGTTTTTGTTTTTTTAAATCTCTCTCTCTCTTGTTTACTTAGTAATATTTACCATAGTAACTTGGTGGTAAATACCACCATTTTATAAAGGTAATACCACACTTTAGAAAGTAACTTTGTCAGCCAATATATGCACAGTTCAGCTATACACCTCAGCAAGCCCAAGTCTATCTGTATATTGACTAACAAACATGCATTATCAAGTGTTATTACTTATGAATATACAACAATAGAGTTAGGAGGATTGAACAAAATCTATTTAACTTTGAATAATCCATACAAAATTAGAAAAAGAAAAGTAACAAGTGTACAATGTTTTAATTCAGACAATATACAGAATTGTACATTCTTACTCCATATGGCTTATAAAATAAAATCTTTACCAGTACTGTGAGATACTGTACAATTCAAAAGAAACATATTTCAGATAAGCCATAAATACTAGAAAATATTGGATGTTTTACAAAACTTAACACACCAGCTAAACAAACCAGACGCCTAAGAATTATCCTAAATTGACATTCCTAAAAAATGTGAAATCATAACTTTTTTACACAGCTTAATAGATGTTATTGGAATAAATAAAAGAAGCCTGAAAAACTCCAGTTTTTATGTTCTTACTTAAAATCCTCAGATGGAATATTACAGTAAAATGCTTCTTTCTCGTTAATCATTGACGATGTATTCTGGTTAAAAATTACAAAAACAAATACTTTTTTTATAAATCAAAAGTTAAGAAAATGACATAAGATTTTTGCATAATATAATTAACTCCTTATTACAAAAGGCAGATCAACAATTCTAGTCCAATGTAATACAACAATCATCTTCGGTCGGCTTATTGGAAATTGTGCAATGCATTAAAAGAATTTCTGTTTGTAAAGAATTCAACCTTTTATTGCATAATGAAAACCTCTCAACTTTGTTTTGAATCCACAGTCACCCTCCCCCAAATCAAGTTCTTCATATTTTACGTTTTTTCCACTCTGGCTTGTTGTCTGTTTCATCTTCCTCTGATTCCACTTCTGCAAAAACTGCTTTTGGTTGAGTCCTAGAAAATATTAAGAAGCAGAATAATGATTAAACTACAGCTCTTCTATGCAGAAGTGAACACTTTCTTCTGTTATTCCCAAAAGAGAAAAAAATGTTATGGGCTTAATTATTTCATTTTAATCATGAAATAAAAATATTCACTAAATTTCTATCAAATCAGATAAATTTGCTGTTGTAAGGCAAAAAATGAATGAACGAGCAGACTAATGAATAAATATGCATATCTTGCAAGTTCTGTTTGCTCTTCAGCAGGCACTGTTATATGTGTTTTCAATTAATAAAATTAAGATATCAGAAGGGAATAAAGGGAGTTTAATATAAGGCTACAAAAACTGAGCTATATATTTTCACATTTCATGGTATTTTTTAAAATAAATCTTTCATACACTTTAGTTTGACAGCTGTCATCAAATGAAAACAAGAATAGCACAGTTTCTGACTAAGTCTACACATGAAAAAACAGCTCCTCTCAACAGAGACCATCCAGCACTACTGTAACATAATAAAAGTAATGATACTCATAGGAGAACATACTGTATCCTACAAGTAATCTTGAGCCTTTCTATCTGGACATTATTTGCTTGTAATTTAAATAACATACTTAAAAACTTTACAAAATATTCACTGACTATTTTTTAAACTAGAACAGTATCAAATAGTTTTTCACCAAACTCTGCGTATGTTCAATTCTACTGTTTGGCTAATAGTTATTGATGGACCTATTCTCCACGAACTTATCTATTTCTTTTTTTAAACTCAGCTATACTTTTGGCCTCACAACAGCCTCTGGCAATGAGTTCTTCACACAATGCATAGTCAACCTGTGGAAGTATTTCTTTATGATTGTTTCAACTCTGCTGCCTATTAATTTCATCAAGTAACCCCTAATTTTATGTGAAGGGGTAAATGTCACTTCCGTATTCACTTTCTCCACACCATTCATGATTTTATAGACCTCTATCATATCCCCCCTTAGTTGTCTCTTTTCTAAGCTGAATGGTTCCAGTCTTTTTAAATTTCTCCTCATATGGAAGCCATTCCACACCCCTAATCATTTTCATTGCACTTCTCTGCAGCTTTTCCAATTCCAAAATATCTTTTTTTGAGATGAGGCCACAAGAACGGCATGCAGTATTAAAGGTGTGGGTGTTACATGGATTTGTATAGCAATGCTATGATATTTTCTTTTATCATCTATCCTTTTCCTAATGGTTCCCAACATTCTGTTTGCCTTTTGACTGTTACTGCACAATGAGCAGATGTTTTCAGAGGACTATCCACGATCTCTTTCTTGCAGAGTAACAGCTAATTTAAACCCCAAGGAAGAATAATTTAATTCACAATATGGTAAAAATCCTGTGTATTTGAGGGAGCAGGATAGTGTGATTTAAAATGTCATTGTAAAATGATATATGAAATATTGATAAGTTTGCTGAAACTTGTAAGATGTTCCGAGTCTACTAAAACAAAAAACTGCAGCACAATCTAGCAGTAACAACATCTAGGGAAAATGTGAAGAGGAAATCAAGTCTGCTTGCTATCGCATTTTTACAATTAGCATGAAATGACTTACTGGACTTGGTTCAACTGGCGAATAAACCTTCCCAACTCCACAGAATATATAACTGTGAATTGGAACAGCTAGGATGATTCATTCATCTGACCGTTGTAAAGACATGAGCAAAGGAAAAATTCAGTTTTTGTTAAGCCATTATTAGCAGAAATCATTTAATTTAAACATAAAATCATACCACTAGCTAGAAGTTGCCAGTGGTAGTAGGAGTTTGCTGCATGACTAACATTTATAGAAAAAATTATTAGAACAGGCTTATTACTTTAACATGTTTTCATTTCCAAGGGCTCCATGGTATATGAAAAGCTAAGACACTCTTTCTTCCTTCAGCCCTCTCATCAATTTTCATTTACTGAGCGACTGTCATAAAATCAAGCATCACCAGTTACCAAAGAAGTGCTACAATGGTCCTGAAATGCCACTTAAAGTTTATACAAAAAAGAGTTTAAAACACAACAGGGAAAATATAGTTGTGTGTGTTACCACAATGCTCATGTAAAAGCTCCACATATCTCTCTCTAGCCGAGATGGCTGGAGGATGACAATTTCATTTCACAACTTCACAGGAAAGACTACCTTGGACTCAGAAACCTTCCTGTTGAAAAAAAAAAAACCCGTTACTAACCTTTTGTAACTGTTGTTCTTCAAGCTGTGTTGCTCATGTCCATTCCATACTAGGTATGTGTACTCTACGTGCACAGTTGCCAGATATTTTTTCCCTTAGTGGTATCCGTAGGGCCGGCTTATGCGCTGGTATCAGGGATGCCGCTGGCCCTGCACCCTCTCAGTTCCTTCTTGCCAGAAATTCTGACGGAAGGATAGGAGGGCAGGTCATGGAATGAACATGAGCAACATATCTTGAAGAACAACAGTTATGAAAGTATCAGAGGGGTAGCCGTGTTAGTGTGAATCTGTAAAAAGCAACAGAGGGTCCTGTGGCACCTTTAAGACTAACAGAAGTATTGGGAGCATAAGCTTTCGTGGGTAAGAACCTCACTTCTTCAGATGCAAGAACCTCACTTCTTGCATCT